TCCAATATTTTTACGAAGGATTATTACCAATGGATAGAAGTATGGTCGATGCAGCTAGTGGAGCAGCTTTGGTAGACAAGACACCAGAAGCAGCCAAGCAACTAATTTCAAATATGGCTAAAAACTCCCAACAATTTGGATTTAGAACGGGAAAAGTTATTACACAAGTCAATGAGGTAAGTGAACTTAAAAGTCAAATATCTGATATAACTGCTTTAGTTCGTCAAGTACTGTTGGAGAAAAACCACGTGAAATGTACGCACTTCAAGGACATTCTACAAATACATACCCTCAATTTCAACAAGATTCCGTTCAGGAAGCCAATGCTATAGGGAGATTTCCTGGTGCTCCACAAAGAAACTATGATCCATATGCCAATCATTATAATACTAGATGGAGAGACCATCCAAATCTAAGCTATGGAAATTAAAACTTTATTAGACCACATCCACCTTCTATGCAAACTCAAGCTTCAAACTCAAGTATGTCTCTAGAGGAAATTGTTAAAAATCTTGCTAATAGTACTCTTCAATTTCAACAGGAAACCAAGGCTGGTATGCAAAATTTGGGCAACCAAATTACCCAACTGGCTACATTAGTGAGTAGATTGGAAGCTTAAAGTTCTGGAAGATTACCCTCACAAACAGAAGTGAATCCAAAAGTAAATCAAGTGGAGAACGTTAGTGTGGTTATGCTGAGAAATGAAGAGGATATTCCTCTAGTATCAATTCCACTCAAGGAGAATAAGCTGAGCGAAGAAAAGAAAGAAATTTCTCCTAAGTATCATGTGGAATAAAATTTGATCCTCCCTTATCTCTTTCATCTTACACTCTATTACCTCCTTTTCCTAGTAGGTTTAACAAACAAAAAAAGAAAGATAATGAAAATGAGAAAGTAGAGGTATGTAAGAATCTCTCAGCTATCATGAAAAATAACTTACCAGAAAAATGTGAGGATCCAAGCATGGTTTCATTACCATGTGTGATTAATAATAACAAAATTGAACATGTCATGTTAGATTTAAGAGCTTCCATAAATATCATGTTATTTTCTATTTATCAAGAGTTAAAGTTGAAAGACTTACCAAAGACTGGTGTAGTGGTTCAATTAGCTGATCATTCTTACGTTAACCCACTCGGAGTTGTTAAAGATATCTTAGTGCAGGTTAATAAGCTCACATTTCCTGTTGACTTCTATATTTTAGAAATTGACGGTAACCCTTCATCAAAGTTAGCCTTTATTCTGTTGGGACGTCCATTTAAGAAATTTGCTAAAACGAAGATTGATGTGGATGGAGGCACTTTTCAATAGAATTAGATGGAGAGATATTGTAAAATTTAATATTTTCGATACTAATGTTGAACATTCTCTTTATCAAAATAACATGAATGATCGAGATATACATGATATAATTACAAAAGAAAATGTTGATCATAAGACTAAAGGAATTATTAATGATATTAGTGCCGAATGGTTCAAGAACCATTAAATGCTGAAATTTCTACTTCAATTAATACGATGTCACTTTCTATTGTGCAGTTAGACTTTCGATGATTGAAATACCTTTGCACACCGTCAAGCAAACTGACGTTAAATAGTTGCGCTAGGAAGGCAACCCAAATGTTTTCTTTATTTTATTTTATAAACACAGTTTCAGCATCCTAATTAATTATCATGTAAAGATTGACCATAAACAKTAACAACAAATTTTAACAATTAATTCCATGCAACAAATAATACTAGAAAATTAATTGTACAAATTAAATAAAAGAGGGTCAGCTAAAAATCTTACAAAATACTGGTGTAGTGGTTCAATTATCTGATCATTCTTACGTTAACCCACTCGGAGTTGTTAAAGATATCTTAGTGCATGTTAATAAGCTCACGTTTCCTGTTGACTTCTATATTTTAGAAATTGACGGTAACCTTTCATCAAAGTTAGCCTCCATTCTGTTGGGACGTCCATTTAAGAAATTTGCTAAAACGAAGATTGATGTGGATGGAGGCACTTTTTCAATAGAATTAGATGGAGAGATATTGTAAAATTTAATATTTTCGATACTAATGTTGAAAATTCTCTTTATCAAAATAACATGAATGATCGAGATACACATGATATAATTACAAAGGAAAATATTGATCATAAGACTAAATGGATTATTAATGATATTGGTGCGGAATGGTTGACAGAACCATTAAATGCTGAAATTTCTACTTCAATTAATACCATGTCACTTTCTATTGTGCAGTTAAACTTTCGATGATTGAAATATCTTTGCACACCATCAAGCAAACCGACGTTAAATAGTTGCACTAGGAAGRCAACCCAAATGTTTTCTTTATTTTATTTTATAAACACAGTTTCAGCATCCTAATTAATTATGATGTAAAGATTGACCATAAACATTAAGAACAAATTTTAACAATTAATTCCATGTAGCAAATAATACTAGAAAATTAATTGCACAAATTAAATAAGAGAGGGTAAATAACGCTGAAAATTTTAGTAGTTCGGTGAAATTGTCTACTTCACTCCACAAGCTCCTCTTGGATATTCAATTGAAGAACTGGCTTTTCCCAAGGCTTAGAGTCCAACCGGTACAACTTTTTTTTTTTAGAGTAAGAACGAATTCAATCATTTACACAGTTCAGAATCAAACTGTTACAACACACTTGTTTGGGCTCAAGAGCAACCCTTAGAATAGATTTGGAATTTGAAGAACGAGGTTACAAACTCTCTAAAATGAGTAGATTTACAAATTTAAGTTCACAAATTTTGTAAGAAAAATTCTTTCAAATAAAGTCCTCAATTAGCTAAAATAAATAAATTTGAAAGCTTAAGATCTCCAAAATAAACTCTCTCACCAAAATTAAAACATAAATTGAAGCTTTGGGGAGGGATGAACAAGAAAAATTAGAGAGTATTGTTGTTTTATTTTCAAAGAAATGGATGTTTAAATAGGAGGAAGATTGAATTTGAGAGGATTGAAATTAGATCTAAATTTTGGTCATTAAATTAATTGAATTATATATATATATTAAAACTTCTCCCTCCAACGGATACTTCCTCTCTTTTTTTTAACAAGTATCAGCGTCTTTTTGAGATTTTTTTTTAACTTTTACAACAACTCTTTCTTTTCTTTTTTTAATTTTTTTTTCCTTTCTTTACTTTTATTTTTTCAATAACACAAATTTCACCACATATCACTCTCTTATTGGTCCACTGAGATTACTCAGCTGCCACGTAACCTTTTCGGTATTTTTTCTTCCAGCTTTTTTTGTCCATAACTTCTTCGATTGAGCTCCAATTTGAGTGATTCAAGAATTGTTGGAATCGTTATAAAGAGATCTATGTTGTGGACACTTCAAAAATGCTAAAATGGTCAATAGACAAAATTAGATTTATTATCATCAAAACATTAATTAATTAATTAATTTGATATTAAAGGTCAAAAAGCCAAGAGACACAATACTTGTCTATTAATCTCGATTTAGTTATGCATCGGGATTACTTGCAGAGGCTCGTGATCAATTTGAACACTGAGATGATTCGGGCTTTGTCTTTTGCCTTTCATCTCGGTAACAATCCCGGTCGAGATGTTATCGGGATGAGATGCAAAATATCAAGTTACCCTGTTTTGTTTTTATTTATTTATAATTTAATTTATTATTATTATTTTTCTTTTTTGTAAAATGGAACAAGCTCCTCTATAACTTTATACTTGAATTTGTTTGTTGTTTAGGAAATTATGGAAATAAGACATAAAATCAACCTTGCATATTGGTTTCCTGCCTCATTAAGGAACCTCACCAATTTAAGTAAAACAGTGGCAACCCTTTAAGGTGAAGTTAACCCCAACCCAATTAGACACATTTAAATAAACATATTTTGGTTCCACCGAGATATGAATATCATATTTAACGGTTCATTGATCCATCACCTATTGTTGAGAGGGGCTTAAGAGCCTAGACCTAATATCATTAGTTTTGACTAGTTAGGAAATAGGGTGTTCTTTAGCAAGAGGGAGTTTAACCTAGTTACTAGGCTTAGGCACCGAACAAATAAGTTGGATGATGATGTTCCTCGTTGAAGACTTCGAGCACACTATTTTAATGATACAAGTCCATGTTAAGTGCAAGGAATTGGGAAAAAATATTTACCAACCTTAAGTTTGATGATGACAAGGATGCAGTGAAGATTAATATAGTCTATTTTATAGAGTTTTCCACGATGATTAAGGAGAGGGAGCAGTTTATAGATAGCCTTCTAGGAATTGTTGAGGATTGGGAGGCATTCTGCAACTATAATTGGAGTACTATGATCTTCAATATGACTCTATGGAGCCTCTAGAACACCTTAAGAGACAGATTAGCGACATACCAGCAAAAGTCGAAGGGTGACCTTAGATACACGGAGACTTACCGTCTATATTATTTTCTGTTAAGATAGCCCATTAGAGGTTATTATAGTGTTAACTAAACTGAGGTTGTGGATTAAGTTTGTTTTGTGAGGTGTTGCACTTAACTAATGTAAGTTAAACGTACTTACCCTTACCTATATAAGGGTAAGTGTTTTTCTGATATGGCTTAATGAGATTAAACTAACAAGATCAGTTTTATTTTGTTTTCTGAACACTGATCTGGTTCCACGAGTACTACGAACACTAATCCAGTTCGAATCCAGTGTATTCTTTTTGGATTAGTCAAGATAGTTTGATTGTAGCCTGGTTGCTCGGATCAATGTCGAATTTGCTTTTATCCAAGATGCTTAACTGTAAAAGTGCTTCTGAGGTATGGTAAATTCTAAATGCTCTATTTTTTTMATGAAATATGGCTAGATTAATGGATCTGAAATCTAAACTTGAAACAATGAAGAAAGGAAGTTTGAAACTTGAAGAATATATTTTTTGAAGATCAAGAATCTTGTTGATTCTTTAGCARCCGCAGGACGAAAAATCTCTCATGACGATTATATTCTTCATATCTTACAAGGACTAGATACGAAATATGACTTTGTGGTCTCGGTAATCACGGAAAAAGATGATTCTCCATCTTTGCAAAAGGTATATTCATTGTTGCTTGCTCAAGAAAATCGTATTGATAGACACTTTTCTATCAATCCTGATGGTTCATTACCAACAATTAATCTTACTACTCAGAATTTGACGAAACAATCAAATGTTCCAGCTTCTTCTACAGGACAGAATGATTCGAATAAGCGGAGGTATCAAGGATAAAGATCTAATAATCACCGTTTCTGGAATACTAACAATGGAAAGCCTCAATGTCAGATCTGTGAAAGGTTTGGGGATATTGCTGCATAGTGTTGTTTTTGGTTTGAAAGAGAAGTTCATGGTCCCAATTTGAACTCTCAGCATCAGAAATCTTTCTAATTTTCCGTGACTGGTCATGGTTAGTCTTCATCTGAATTTAATGCTCTTACTCTGCAACATGATTTGAATAAAGAAAATCTCTGGTTTCCTGATTGTGGTGCTCTGAGTATCGTGGAGATAATAAATTTCTTGTCGGCAACAGTACAGGTTTGAAAGTTCTTAACATTGGCTCTTCTTCCTTTAAATCTTCCTCTTATCCTAATTCTATCTTTCCATCTTCATAATCTTTTACATGTTCCTAGTATTACCAAAAATTTAATCAGTGTGAGTCAATTTGCCAAGGGTAACAGTGTCTATTTTGAATTTCACCCATTTACTTGTTTTGTGAAGGATCTCAATAGCCAAAGACTTCTCCAAGGCATTCTTAAAGATGGATTGTATAGCTTTAATTTGGAAAAAGTATCTTCTTCAGACTCCAAGTTGGATAGCTCTTCTTTCACAGTTATGTCGTCTACTTCTTTGTCTCATGTTCTAAAATTGAAGCTCATTCTTGTATTGTCATTCCTTCTGTTCCTTCTTCTGCTTTTTCTGTTCTCGTTTTGTGGCACAATAGGCTAGGTCATTCAGCTATTTCTACTGTGAAGCATGTTCTTGATACTTGTAATATTTCGTACTCTAATAATAAAAGTCATGCTTTATATCATGCTTGTGCCATGGGAAAGAGTCATGCTTTGCCATTTGTGGATTCCTTAACTGTGTATTCTGCCCCTCTTCAATTAATTATTGCTGATGTTTGGGTCCTGCTTTCAAATCTTCTAGGAATGGCTTTTGTTATTATGTGAGTTTTTTTATGTGTATTCTCGTTGTACCATTGATATACTTTCTAAAATCTAAAGATGAGGCATTCCAAGCTTTTCTTATTTTTAAAACTCATGTTGAAAAGCTTTTTAGTTGCTCTATTCTTCATTTGCAAACCGATGGAGGGGTGAATTCATTCATTCCTTTTCGTAAATCCAACGGAATTGAACAAAAGTTACTTGTCTTTATACGTTTCAATATAATGGAATTGTAGAAAGAAAGCATCGTCATATTGTCGATATGGGTCTCACTCTTTTGTCTCATGCTTCTTTGTCCTCGGAGTTCTGGGATGATGCATTTTCCACTGCCGTATATCTCATTAATCGTCTTCCTGCTATAGTTCATCTTCATAAGTCACCTTTGGAGAAGTTGTTTGGTCAAACTCCGAATTTTTCCTTTCTTAAGACTTTTGGTTGTTTGTGTTATCATTCATTGAGATCCTATAATAGACATAAAATTGAACCTCGTTCTCCTCCATGTTTGTTCCTTGGATATAGTACTGTACACAAGGGATATAAATGTCTTTATGCTTCTGGTCGATTGTATATCTCACGACATGTTCTTTGTTATGAAACCAAATTTTCTACTTCCACTTTTCTTGTTTCAAATTCTAAAAAAATTTGTCCTCTTCTTTTATCTTAAATCACTTACCAGTTATCACATCAAGCTCATCCTCTGCTTTATCCAAAAATCATGCCTTTAGTACTACACCTACAGATGTGTCTTGCCTTCTCAGCCTTTGATTAATGACCCTGATTCACGCCTTGTCCCATCCACGTCAAATCCTATTCCTTTGTCCTCTCCTTCCTTGAGCCCTCCACCTTTTGTTCCTTCATGTGATCTTGTGCTGCCTGCTCCAACCATTTCTTCTCCACCGTCTGATGGTTCTTCCCACATATCTCCCACTGCCTTTATTCTTGAGTCTTGTTCAACTCTTCCTATACATGCACCTCAAGCTGATATATCTTCAAGAGTTGTTTCTAACCAACATCCAATGATGACTCGTGGTAAGCATGGTCTTTTAAGCCAAAAATTCTTTTGACAGAGTATATTGATGTTGAGCCTCCAAATGTCAAAACTGCCTTGAAGTGTGGTCATTGAATTCAAGCCATGAAAGAGGAGTATAATGCCTTGATAGCAAATCATACATGGTCTTTGGTCACTCCTCCATCTGATAAGAAGATTATAGATTGTAAGTGGGTGTTTAAAATTAAACGTAATTCAGATGGCTCCATTGCTCGTTACAAGGCCTTCGACAGGAAACAGGATCCTCTTTAAGAATCTTAAGATTTTCCATATGCTTTTTAGGTTATTATATTTTAAGAAAACAAAACTCTACAGAATTATGTTTCTGCATCATATAGTTATTTAATTGCTAGCTTATATTACTTTGATGTGATTGTAGGTATGGGAGTATAAGACTGTTTTGATGTTGACTACACATCGCACTCAGGCTGAATGTCGATGACATTCCTCATCTTCTCTAATGGTCATGCACCTATTGTCACTGGTTTCGTGTGCTGACCATTTATACCTTCGTGTCTAGTCATGTAAGTTATATATAATTTGTTGTTTTAAACGTTGTTGTTGTCTTTTTTTATGTCAAATTGAACATTAGGATTCTTGCATATGAACATTAAATTATATTCGGAGGTGACAGAGTCTAGCCATGGACCATCTCATGAATCCACTGCAAGCCCGCGTCTTATCCCTTCCAACACCCGTCGTTAAGACAGGAGCGAATCTTACACTAGTCGCTAATCAAAAAAACGTTCCAACAGATGGTGTACCGACCAAAAATCAGAAGGACTAAGGGAAGAAGAAGGTTGCAACCGAGGGCATAAAAGAGCATACATTGGTCCATTCCTCAACAATGACTGAGGACCGAGAGGATGGTGTACCGACTGAAGACGAAGATCTAGATGATGAGTCGGACTATGGGGATGAACCAGAAGTTAATGTCAAGGAAAGAGATACTTCAAACATTTTTAAGAGTTGATGGCTTAAGCACGTAACTGGTTGTACCCTGGTAGCATAAAATTTTGCTTGTTAAACTTCTGGGTGGAGTTGATGCATATCAAGGTGCTCAATAATTGGAATAACAAATCGCTTGATATGTTACTAGAATTGTTGAAATATGCAATTCCACCCGGTGCATTTATACATGGTTGATTCTATGAATCTAAGAGAAAGCTAGGTGACTTAGGGCAAAGATATGAGTCCGCTCTCGCTCTCGCTTGTTCAAATCTAGCTCTTGCTCTTGCTCGGTTAGACCTTTCTCTTGCTTGCTCATAACAGATCGAAAAGAGCAGGAAGTTAACAGTTGGGCGACGGCGGTGGCGACCAGAACAGAGGGACTGAGAGTGGCGGTCGATAGTTTTAAGAGGAGTGAAGGGAGTAAGAGAGAGGCGTTGGCGTGGACTTGTAGAAAGAAAGAGGAGGTGAGAGGAAGAGAGAGAAGAATATTAAAGAAACAAAATACTATTTTTAGAGAGAGAGAAGAATATTAAAGAAACAAAATACTATTTTTAGAGAGAGAAAATGTGGCACCTTTTTTGAAATTCATCTCTCTATAAATTTCGAAGCTTTTTTTTCTTCGATTCTAAATATAACCAAGTTGGATTTCATAGAATCAAACCACAAACCATATTCTTGTTTGTAATAAGTAAGATTTTTTTTGTTTTACATCTTATCCCATTTTTAATGATAACGTGTTTTTGATATTGATAAGTTTTTCTAGGATTTCAAAATAACCCAATTTTGTTCATGGTTTTGGAAAAAAATCGAGACAAAAGAGAGAAGAATGGTGTCTATTTTGAAGATATTGAGAAATACCCACCTGTAAAATAAATTTTGGACAATGGAGGTAGAAAGAAACGGAAGAGAGAGAAGAAGATGATGAAGAACAGGAAGGAAGAGAATGAGCGATATATATATATAGATTGGCCTGAGAAGAAAGCAAAAAGAGAGCAACTAAAAAAAGCAATAGGGGTCAATGTGTAATTTCACACAAAAATAGCATGAGCAGACGTTTAGAAAACATAAGTATTCGAAACTAAGGCAAAAAACATTTTTGTCTTGGGAAAAGGTTATTCAGTCTAAATTTTCAAAAGATTTCTGATTTTGATCAAAAAAAAATAGGAATAACATTTTACTGATTTTCATTGTTGAATTACAAGTCCTAGAAACAACTTTGTTTCAATTTAATTTTTAATTTTTTAATTTTTGTTTTCAGACAAAGCATCCAAGTATTTTGTGTAAGAAATACCAATTAACTCTAGGATATTGATTGATTTGACTCAAAGAAGTTTTAGTTTGCTCAGATAACACATGCGTTCAAAATTATTTTTTTTAACCTATTTGATTATTTTAATTAATTTAAAAATAACGAAAATTATATATGTGTCCATGATGTCAAAAAATACAATCGTTGGCCTCCTTTCCCCCCTTTCTTTTCATATTTTCCGTTTTCTCTTCCTCATTTCCATTTTTCTTTCTTTCTCCTCTATTTTGTTGAACACCGATTCTTCTCTAGGAAAGTATTTGAGATTCGATTTCGGAAGTAAGTCGATTTCCTAAGCTTGTACTTTTTTTTAGGCCTTTGATTTTCCGATGATATATATATTTGGAAGATGGTCTCTTTTTGTCGATTTCATGTTTTTTGGCGTATAGATGAAAAATCAGATTTTAGGGTTTCTTTGTCATCGATTGCATTTTAGGGTTAGGGGTTTTACTTTCCGGCGATTGTATTGTATGTTTTCTATAAAATGTGAGTTTAAGGTGGTGGGAGGTTGAAGAAGGTGAAGCGTCTTTGTTGAACTCAGGCAACATGGAGTAAAGATTTAAATCTTTGAAGTCGGTTCGGAGATCTGAAAAATTTCTCGTCAATTTCGGGCGAGGTCCAACCAAGGAAGTGAACAGTAGGTACTTCTCGAGTGAAGTCTTTTATGAACTTCACTCGAGTTTTTCCCAACTTGTTTAATTAAATCCTCCTGAAGATCTTCACCCAAAGTGTGTACCGAGAATTTGGTACAGGATGTTTAAAACTCGAGCGAAGATCTTAAAAACTAGGAACTTTGCTCAACTTTTGTACAATCTGTTCAATTTCCTGGGGCACGATCTCGCCCGTAAAATGTACAAAGGAATTGAACCATATTAACAAAACTCGAGCGAAGTTCCATAGGAAAAACCCACATACTTCTATCATAGGAATAAACATAAAATAACTAAGAAATTTAAAGAAAGCAATAAAATAAAGAAACACAATAATTAACGTGGAAAACTCCAAGTCGGAGAAAAAACCACGGCCCACAAAGAAAAATCCACTATGTGAAAAATTATTACAATCACACAGATTTCTCTCTCGATCCAATTACACAAACACTCTCTAAAAACAAACATCGTAGTTCACTAGAGCTGGTATACCAAGCTTAAAGTATTTTAATTAGAATGATTAAAACTCAAGCTCATGAGCCCCTTTGATAGTAGTTGGAACACACCTTCTCCTTGTACCTTTTCGATGTTGGACAACTTCTACTACTTGGTGAACACACTCGATCTCTTCTTGTATCTTTTCGATGTGGGATAAATTTCAATTCTAATACCAAAAATCAACAAATTCCACCTTGACAAGATATTAAAGAATTCATAGCTTCTACTGCACTCATTGTCTTCACCAATAATCATTCTCAATTCAGATAACTATAACCTACTCCACCATAAAAGTAGACCACTTGGAATGTCGCCTTCCAAGATTTTTCTTCCTCGTCACATGTCGATAAATGCAACCTTTGCGGAAGCAGAAACTCTCGGTGTAACTTCCATCTACTTGGCTCACTTGGAAATTCTTCAACCATCAACATAACTTTCACCACACACACCTTGCATAACCGCAAAGCCAATGTCCATGTGTAAACTTGTGGAACCGCTAACATCACACTTTTATCATGGTAAAGCAGACATACCATGATGATGAATTCTCTCTCTTCAAAGGAATTGATCATCGTCTCCTCTGACGAGAGAAACACCATCAGCATCTGAGCTAGAGTTCTTTGACATACCAGCTCTATTAGGACAATCTTTCGTCATGTGCTCAGACTGTCTGCATCCCCAACAACAAGCTTTCTTTTGCATGAAACCTTTCTTCTTCTTCCAATTGCTAGCTACTAGTATTGAATCTTCATGTAAAGTACATCTTTCACTCTTCAACATTCTTCCTTCTAACAAAAGTTTACTAGTAACCTCAGCGAAATTCAAAGTAACCTTCCCGAACATCAAGATCGGCTTTATGTGTTCGAAAGAAGGTAGAAGTGACAAGATGGGCCTTAGTGCTTTATCTTCATCATCTATCTTCACTTCGATTAACTCCAACTCAAAGATGATGCTATTGAGATTACTCAGATGATCTGAAATTTTCGTACCTTCCTCCATTCGCAGTGAAATTGCTCCTTCAAGTACAACCAATTTGAGATGCCCTTTACCTGGTACAATGCTTCGAGCTTCTCCCAAAGTTCTTTGGGAGTCAAAATTCCATGACATTCGCAAGAATATTCTTGTTCATATCACGCTTGCAGTCCTCAAATTCATTTCCTCCCAATCTTCATCACCCATGCTAAACTTCTTAGAACCTCTGTTGGAACCACCGGTGACTCCACTGAACCACTATCACCGCTTAGCTTTTCAGAAGCACCTTCTCTCGATCTTCCCTTCAACATCTTGTGTAACGTAGATTGTATCAACACATCTTTGACTTGCACTTGCCACAAGCCAAAGTTAATCCTTCCGTCAAATTTCTCCATGCTAATCTTCACTTAACTCATAAAGAATGATATATTTGCTTCACACTCCTAACGAATCTACAAATAGTGAACAACCCACACTATTCATAGAACCATAGCTCATTTCAAGAAATATTTTCTGTTGTGGAAGTTCAGACAATGCTGCAACCACAGAGCATACTCAAAAATTCTAGAAACTACAAACCTAAATCTTTGATATCACTTGATGGGGAAAAAGACCTCATATTTCTACCGCATGAATAAGTAGAAAATAACTAAGAAATTTAAATAAATAAAAAAAACGCAAGAATTAAATATGGAAAACTTCAAACCAGAGAAAAAAAATCATGGCCAACAAGGAAAAATCCGCTATGTGAAAATTTCTTACAATTACATAGATTTCTCTCCCCGACCCCAATTACACAAAACACTCTCTTAAAGCAAATACCACTCAGTTAACTAAAGCCAGTATACCAAGTTTAAAGTATTTCAATTGGGATGATTAAAACTCAAGCCCATGAACTTCTTTTATAGGAGTTAGAACACACCTCCTTCTTATACCTTTCCGATGTGGGACAACTTCTACTACTTAGTGAGCACATTTTCTCTTTGTATCTTTCCGACGTGGAACAAATTTCAATTATAATATTTTGCCAAAACCCAACACTTCGCTCAAGTTCTATGATTAAATTCTTGTGCACGATTTCGCCTGAGATCTACCCCAAGGAAATTGATAAAATGATGCTTCGCTCAAATTTGGTTGTATGTCAAATTCCTACTTGGTTATTTGTTATGTGTTTCTCTTTGTCTGATTATTGTTCTTTATTTCTTACCAAGTTTTCTAAGATAGAAATAGTACCTAAAATTCATCCCTCAACTTATGCCTTTGCCAACTTGACATGTCTATCGCACATAGCGAAGACAAACACTGATATTAAGACAAAACTCACCCTCAAACAGCTTGCCATGTTTAGAACAACTATCTTTAACCATCTCCTTGACTTACACCTCATATTTAACAGTTCGTTGATATACAACCTATTGCTTTAGAAGGTTGAGGAGAGTAGACCAAACACCATTAGTTTCAACCTTTTTGGAAATAAGGTATCTTTTGGTCAGAGAGAATTTAATATCATCAGTGACCTAAAATATGCGAGGATTCCAATTAGGAAAGACATATTTCCTCAAATACTTAGGACCATGTATATAGCCGCATGATTCGAGGATGACTTTGACGCGATTAAGGTATCAATTGTATGCTTCGTAGAGCTAGTTTTATTGGGGAGAGAGAAAAGTTGAAGTTTGACATGAGTTTGCTGGGATTAGTGGACGACTGAGAAGTCTGCTACAACTACGACTAGGCTCGTTGTCGTTCAAGAAGACGATAAGTAGTCTACAATATGGCTCGTTGAAGAAGTCGAAGGGAGGGGGGTTGAGGAAATCATATATTTTGTATGGTTTCCCTTGGGCATTCCAGGTACGAACATAAATATTTACTTTTTGACATTGTTGTTTTGAATTATTTATGGTTTATAATGT